AATCTTTCCACATTTGCAGACGGCTTGTTGCTCCATTGCTCGTCACAGAGGCAAGCATCTTTGCTTATATCTGTTGCCAAGTTATTTTGTCCCGACTAGACCCTGACATTGTTGGAGAGCTATACGGTTGCAGTTAGATTATAATATTTTAATCTTTCACATAAAACATCCAATAACTTGAATTCGAATTCGAAAATACGACTTCTTGCGCTTACTGTATATATACCCACTTTGTAACCACAAAGTATGAAGATTTAGGATGGGTTTATAGTTCTTATACATGCTGGGTCCTTATGTGGGTTTAGAAGTATGAACACACGTCATTTTTTGTGGATAAACATGTTACAGCTTAGGAAGACACGTTTTAAGGTCCAGCGCTACGAGTACCCTCGATATGGGCGAACTGCACTTTTAAAGCGATGTTTAATTCATTACCATAAAATTAGCTGACAAGATTAAAATGTCAGTTGCTGTATGCTCCTCTAGTGTTTTACCGATCCAACTTTGCCGAGCATCCATTGGCCAAGTGGCTAGCCATCCCCAAAGTCAACCGGCCTGCTCATCCAGCCAACTATTTTCCTTTCTCTCACCAGCTGAGCAGACTCGTCTGCCCAATCAGTAATAGCTCAGATGAGCCTAACCACTGGGTAATGGGCAGAGTTGAATCCTCTAGCTCAGGTCATGATTGGTCATTCACGATCCCCAGGGCTCAGTCGTTCACTGGGGCAGATTTAATCTGTGCAATCTGTGCTGAACATAGCAGCTGCAAGGGTTTGTCAATCACGTGTTTACTATCCATTTTCGGCTTTCATCAGGCATATTCACGTGGTGATTAATTATCAGTCTGAGCTCCTCTCTACGTGTCCGGGTTAACATGGTCTATAGAATCGTTTTTGTGATCAGAGCCTCTTTTTCTTGCCAAACTGGGTACAATGTTTCGGTGGTAGATTCCCATTTTTGTTGATCCGATAATTGTCCTTTAAAAGTTCTACATCTCAGGAGTCTTGAATAATGAGTTGACTCAGAAGAATGGAAGATGATCTGCCGTCTGGTGAAACATGCATTGACCACACGGCAGTCAATGCGGTATAAAATCACATACAAATTCAGTCCATTTTTTGACAAAGCAACTCTATCTCGATCAGGGCATATAAGTATTGGCGCCTCAGGGTGGATTTAAGTTCAACTTGGTAATTATTGTCATCTCACTCCTGTTGTATCGAAATTGTGTACGCAATGTTGGGAAGCTTTTTCACCTCACCGGTTTCCAAAGCGTTTGACACATTGAAGCAGGCGGTGATTGAATTTGTCGAAGAAGAAGATATTCCAGGACTGTCCGGTAGAGCGCACACTCAAAGGCGTGAAAAAGAACGATTGTCCAAGCCAGGCTTTAGTGGGCCATTCCCACACCAGCCGTGTCAGCAACAACGGGGGAAGAGCACTTCTGCTGATCAGTTTCAGATGCCTCCGCATTCTCTGACACAGTCCTGGCGAGACGAGCAAAACGTGGGACAGTTACAAATTGAACCGGATATACAGGAAGTCAGATCACCTCCGACAAAAGAACGGTTAACCTCGGAACTGCAAAGCCAATTGCATGGATTAGTTCAACCGACACGACTGCAGACCGCGAATCAAGGGGTGTCGGTGCCATCGACTGTAGCAACCGGTACCACGTTGCCCCATCAGGACAACGTGGAGCATAACAAGGATCACCTTGGAAAACTGCAAAATGACTCGTGGAATGCCAGATCGCTGGTAAAACAAAAGACAGTGAGGAGCCAAGACGAGTCTTTTCATCGCGGTCAGCAAGTGAATAGGGAAGAATCGCATCAGGATTCAACGGAGCAAATTGGCGATTCACCTCAACATTCCCCAGCTCTGAACCAACCGAAGTCGACCAAAATGATCCAACTTCCGCTGACGGACTATGCAGAATCCTCCGAAGAAACCTCCAAGGCAAGTGAACAAGCCCATACTATTCGGTCAGGCGACCAGTTGCCTGAATGTGGGGAGAAACTACATCATTCCACATCGTATCCTTGGAAGCTGGCCGAGTCAGAAGAAGCTAAAAGGGAGAATCAGCCCAGTAACCACCATCTGCGGTCACCAAGTAGCCCTCACGATCAACATGTTCTCGTCGAATCACATCCCAACCTCCTCGTCGGGCACAAGGTATCCATTGGTACCGTCGTCCCTATGCCAACTGTGGCCGACCAGCCTCATTCACCGTCCCGCTTCTCAGTCTCTAGGATCGTCCATTTTGCAGGTGATTCAAACTCGCAACAGGACCACGAGACTCTGGGCCAAAAGTTGAAAGTGACCGCCTCCTTTCTTCAGTCGGCACAGGCAGAAGCGTTTGAAGAGCCGAGAGAAGGTATAAAACGGCTACGAGCGATGCTCTTGGATGCTCACATCAGCCTGGACGACTGTCTGGGACCTCTGGCCATCGACAAGACCAGCCTTCCGCGTCTCGGCGAGCCAAAGAGCTGGTCGGACGCTGAAGAGACTGTCTCGTGTACCAGCGAGCCCCTGTTTCCCAGACCACGGTCCCTTTCTCCCCAAGGCTCAGCTGCCTACGATAGATTTCTGGGCTCGGTACCCGGCCGACCGATAGTCGCATCACCGTTCCGCCCAATTTCCGCGGCTCCCGCCTATCCAGGCTCTCTGGATCTTACGCAAGTGCCACAACTAAAGTCGCCCTGGTGGCGTCTGTCTCACACACGGACAGTATTCTCCGAAATGGGCAGTCGGGTTGAAGCCGACCCTCAAATGGACTCGTTCTTGACCTCCATTTTGGTGGAGCCTCAACTGCGCGGGCTATTCACATGGTCATACGATTCCGTGCCTGAGTACACCCCAGCTGGGGGACTCATCACACTTCCCATCGACGAAGTTGGAATGTCCTCAAATTTACAGTATGGAATGAATGTACTCCATCCTCCTCCGAGCTGGGCCATGAAAAATGAAGGTAAGAGGTGGTATACTGGAGAGCACATACCAAAGTGCTTGGCTCAGAGATTCGGCTCTACAAAAGTGTTGGCGCCTCGTTTTTGAAAGATACAGATTTTGCTCAACTCTGTTCACAAAGCCTTTCCATCTAGTTCCACTTGTTTTGCACTTTTGGTCCTTGAAGCATGAGCTCTAGGACGTTTATCCGTTTCGTATAATTCGCTAATCGGTTATTGAATGCTGCCGTGATACGGTATCGAGCAACGCTATTATAGACACATTTGCTGCTTGATACATTGTATAAAATGGTTTCGGACCTCACTTGAGATTATACTCACCATATTACTTTTTTGTTTAAGAGTAGTCAAATAAGATGATCGCCTACTGTTTTTAAGCAGTTGCATTACTTGCAAATGTTGAATATCCTTCCATGCTTAGTGGAAGTGTTTGGTGATGAGATTCGAAGACCTCTCCTACCAGAAGACGTTGGCGAATTCCTTTTGACCAACTATCGATTGACTTTATTGGAACATTCTTGTTGATGCTGTTTCCGTGGCAATCTCCTTTGAAAACGTGCTAAATTTTCGTTTATCGTTTTGACGAGTAAAGAAAACTCGTTAGTTTGAATATGGTTTTAAGGATGATACCCTGTTTTAATGATGCCCGACATATGATGAACGAAAGCTCAGCACTTTTTAATCGGAATCGAAGAGGATTGCATCGGAAACAACGTCATCAAGAATATTCTAGTAAAACCAATCGACAGCTGGTCAAGAGGAATGGTGGGATCGAACTTCTAATCACTTCTCCAAACACTTTCACTTCATTATTATGCAACAAGAAATTCCTCGAAACCCAACTTTATTTCACAACTATTTGCATCGAGTAATTCTGGACATCACGTTCTACTTGGTTTCGGTCGGTTTGAAGCCACCAGGTAAAGGAGTTATCTGAGTAAGTTTGAGCTCATCTTCCAGTGCCAGTCTTGCTTAAAGCGAAATGATAGGTACTCTAAAATCAATCCTTGATAATGTTTAAGACTTCATTATTGTCTTCCGCCCAAAAGTTGACTGAACGGTAGGTTCGGCCTCGCCCCATCGTCTCGTCTGCACCTGTAGCGGAATTTAAACCACAAAATGGCCTTTTCGGGGCAAGCACATGTACTTGCACATATGAAATAGCCTTAGAGCGGTACCACCATTTAAGTATTGACGTCAAAACAAGATATATTCTCTTATTCCCCCCTATATAACTAGTTTTTTCCTAATTTACACCCGCTATACTAGTCTCCGTGGCCTAACGATTGGCGTTCGATGCTACTAGAATTTTTTTCTTTTCATGGGTCCCCTAAACATCGTTCTGTCACAGCTGGTTGACCAAGCTTAGCTTGTCCTCAACAAGACTTAGTGCTCTTGTGAAACATAAACACAAAAATAATATTTATACATATGGATATGTATAGGGAATATATACAGCATAATGAGATGTATTCACCCTATTTCGTGTAAGGTGATGAAGGACTGGTAGTAGAATGATATGAGTTGAGCTGACGTTTCCATTGAATTTCACATAGCCTTGCTTTCCCAAACGTTGTTCTCATCCAGGGTGGACTGCAGTTTTGACCTCGT